GGCATTTGTCTTTTTTTTTCTTCCGGTAATTGTTAACATAAGTTTACTTCTTGTTGTTATAGTAAGAAGATCCTAGTCCTCCATTACTCGGAGTTTTGACATGAACTGTAATCAAATGGAGATATCTATCATTTTCAGGTGCGATCTTGTCCCTGTGTTTGGCTTTGGACAGAATAATCTTTATCTTAATATAATTGGCGGCAGTAGTTGCTCCCAATATTCACGGCCTCAACTTTGGTTCAGAAATTTCACCTCTTACCTCAGAACTTGTTTTCTTCCGACACGATCTCCAATCAACGTCGTAGGTAAGCGTATTTTTCATTTGTGAATGTTTTCTTTTTATTGAAAGCACTTTTATTTACAAGTCGAACATTCCTTCTAGGATTTAGGACCAGCATGAACTGGAAAACTGTATGATAAAAAGATGACCAATGCAATCCCAAATTAGCACCCATCAAACTTTTGTTTTGTGTATGATTTCTACTCACGCCGATTGCATAATGGTAGCTCAGTAGCATTACAATTTTCTTTTCCGCAGTGGGATCGCCTATTTCTGTTTCCAAGATTGATAAACCAAGGAAGGAAGATATAGACAAACTTCACACACGGTACATAGACGAACTAAAAGAATTGTACGAGAACTATAAGGACAAATATCACCCATCAGAGAGATCTGAGTTGTTGATCATCTAGTTACTAAAAGGGAAATTGTTTGAATTTTTTTTTTTAGTCTCAATAAAATGTCACTAATATACAGTCGTTTTTATTTGTTCTTCCTTGGGAAACTCACCCATACCCCCAGCGGAAACTCCCACCAGATTTCTCATGCTGAGATCCTTTCGCGTTAACGATGAGATGTATCGTGGGTCCTAGGGTGCGTAGGATTTGAGAATCCGTAGAGCATCAATTGTTTCTTTTTTTCTGTCACGTCACCGAAAAATGAAAATAAAACCCATTTTAATGGCCGGCTGCAGTTAATAGCTAGAGAAATTGCAGAATATTGATTAAAAACCGCATCCGTCAGTCTATTGTTGGAAACGCAATAACTTCCCTACTGCAAACTAGCAAAAGATTTATAAAAACAATTTTGTAGCCTAAGCAGATTGCGGGTTATTTACGCGGCCTTAGTTCACGTTACTTGAACGCATGGCAACGTTAATTGCGAAGTGAACGGGAAAAAGATTCGCCGACATTGCAGCATCAAACCCTCGGCTTGCATCACTCGCTTCAATGGGTTTATCGTTCGCCAAGAGGCTCCGCTGACAAGACACATCCTTCGCAAAAAATCGAGCTTTATGGGCAAGAACTAACGTTGTATGTCGTTCAAGCAACACACTTCATTATTTATATCAATCGCTTCTTCTAAAATTCTCCGGTAGCAGGGAAAGGTAACAAGAACCCAGCTCATACACTCCGCCTATCCGTTATCCCTTGAGAACTACATCTACAGTTCCACAATTCCAGAATTTTTGGTTGTGTGCTTCAACTACGTACCATGTTTCCTCCTTCCATCGATTGGGTAAACATCATGCTACGCGTACTTCAACTGCTTCTTTTTGTGTGAAACCCGAAAAATGCCCCTCACTATCGATTACATTCTACAAACTTTGAGCATCGTTCTGCTGTACTACGTAGGATTCTTAGCGAGCACTCACCTGCTGGGCATCTTTACGCTGTACAAGCTGTTCTTCTATACACCCTTATGGCCGGTTGTACTTCTCTATTTATCATGGACGTATCTCATTGAGTGGAAAACCCCTGAACGTGGCGGAAGAGATCTTCTGATAAACTTTGCAAGAAGGCTTTCTGTTTTCAAGTACATGAGGGATTACTTTCCTATTAACCTCGTCAAAACTAGCGACCTCGATCCACAGAAGAATTATATTTTTGGATATCATCCCCATGGGGCTCTTACCGAAGGAGCATCGATAGGATTGAATACAGAAGCATGTGGATTTAGTGAAAAATTCCCTGGAATCATTCCGCATCTTTCCGCGCATTCAGGTAAGCTAAATCAACTTGAATCGCCATATTGGTCAATGCTTCATTACGATTTAAATTTTTAGTAAACAGCTCAAAGTTTTTACCTATTTTGACATTATTACAGTTTTTGATTCGTCCAAGTATTCATTCTCTGTCCATTATTTAATGAGAAACATGTATACGACTGATCTTTTGACAAAATGTTCATTTATTTCATTCTTAGTTAGTTGTAACAATAAATTTGGGTGTAAAATCTGTATCCCTGGATCAGTGGTTAAGTGGATTACGGACTGCACCTCGACGTAACTGTATTCCATGTACTCAATTATTCAAGTATTTCATCAATTATCAGGGAGCAAGAAAAAGTATTGACCCAAGTTCCCAGCTTTTCCCTTTCCATATACCACATTTGAATGCACCTAAAATGGAACCCACGGCAGGAATGAGACCGAGTAGACACACCGCACCCATGAGCAGTCCTAAGGCAAGTTGCAGTGTAAGAAAAGAGACAAACGCATATGGGGCTTATTCGGTTTGTATCTGACTTGCTTGTTTTCTGGAAACTTTTCGTTCAGGTATCCTAACAGCCTTGTTATACCGTGATATCGTGTTGGCCCTTGGCGTGATTGATGTGACACGTGACAGCTTGGAATACAATCTGACACAGAAGGGGGCGGGACACTCGGTTGTCATCATCGTGGGCGGACAAGCAGAGATACGAGAAATGGGCTTTGATAGCTACGTGCTGATAATGAGTCGGCGGAAAGGATTCATTAAATTGGCTTTACAACTTGGGTTTGTATCAGACAGGCATCTTATCTTATCAAGCAGGAGCTAAGTAATGGGTTCCTGATGATAGTAAGATAACTGAAAAATGTTAGAAGAATTATCTTGCCTTCAGAGCTAACATCATAACATTTTTGTGAATATTCTGTATCCTCCATTACACGGAGTTTTGACATGGACTGTAAGTAAGTGCGGAAACTTTTATCATTTTTCAGATGCGATCTTGTCCCTGTGTTCGCCTTTGGACAGAACAATCTTTATCATCATTTTATTGGCGGCAGTAGTTGCACCCGATATTCACGACCTCAGCTTTGGTTTAGAAATTTCACTTCTTGCCTCGGAACTTGCTTTCTTCCGGGACGGTCTCCAATCAACGTTGTAGGTAAGCGTATTTTTCATTAATGAATGTTTTTATCTTTTATGCAGTGGTTTTTTTTACAAATCGAGTATCAAAAGCAATCCGAGATACCTGTAGTTTTGCTCTACTTCGCTCTATGATTGGTCCAGAAAACTCGTCTCGCTTTCTCAACGTACCAATCAGACGCAAAACTAGAACCAATCACGAATTGGTCGCTCGCGTTTTCCCGCGCTTTTGGTTGTTTTAACTTGAGTTCTCATTGGCTCTTTAAGTTATTTTCTTTTCTCCTGAGAGGCCGTTGCGATTATTTAAGTTTTGGTGTTACAACACTCGATCGAAAAGAGCTCTAAAGAAAGACCTATGCAATCCTAAATTACATTCGACACAAGCTAGCAACCAACAGATCTGTTGTTAGTGTATGATTTCTCTTCACATCAAATCTATAGTGGTTAGTTCAGTAATGGTTTCACTTTTCCTTTTCACAGTGGGATCGCCTATTTCTGTATCTAAGATTGAGTGTCCAACGCAGGAGGATATCGACAAACTTCACGAACGGTACATAGACGAACTGAAAGGATTGTACGAGAAATATAAGGACAAGTATCACCCATCAGAGAGATCAGAGTTGTTGATCGTCTAATTTACATTAAACGAAGTTGGTTGAAGTTTTTTCGGTTTTACCCTCAACAAAATGTACCAAATTACAGTCGTTTTGATTGGTCCCTCTTCCAGGAAATCTCACCCGCAATCTCTGAAATTTCCACCATATTTTTCTTGCCTAAAGGTTCCATGGTGTGCAGTGAGTTCTGTTGTGCATAAGGATCGAGAATGTGCGAAATATTGTAAGTGATAAATTTCCCACCTCGAACTACCGAAGGAATACATTAACAAACTCTCCAGCCTCTAAGCACATGGCGGGATTTTTTCACGTGTCTTTACTTTAAATTATTCAAACACATACGAGCGGCGAAGCGAATGGGAGAACTCCCTGAAATTGCGAAATTAATTGCAGGCATCAAACTCTTAGCCTGCGTCACCCGCAAAAATAGGTTCATCGTTTTATCGGAGGTTCCACTGACAAAATGCACCCTTCGCAAACAATCTAGTAAGGTGGGACAAAACAACCACTATATGCCGTTAAGCAACACACACCGTCATTCATGGCTTTTATCGAAATTTATCTGGAGGTAGGGAGAAGTAGCAAGAATTGTGAGAATGGTTGACTCAGACATTCCGCCAATCCTGCAAACGTTGAGCATTACACTTCTACATTTTGTTGGATCTTAGGAGGCACTCACGTGCTGGGTATCTTTACGCTTTACCAAATATTCTATTATACACTCCTATGGCCGGTTGTACCTCTCTTTTTATCATGGACGTATCATGTTGAGTGGAAAACCCCTGAACGTGGCGGAAGAGACCTTCTGATACATGAGGGATTACTATCCTATTACCCTCGTTAAAACTAGCGACTTCCATCCTCAGAAGAATTATATTTTGGATATCATCCCCATGGAGCTTTTACCGAAGGTGCATCGATAGGATCGAATAAAGAAGCATGTGGATTTAATGACAAATTCCCTGGAATCATTCCTGTCCGCGAAGTTAGGTATGCTCCAATCGATTCGAATCTCCACATTTTAATGTCGTGTTTAGTGATGCTTCGTTACGATTGAAAATTTTAAGTAAACAGCTTAAGTGTTCAGTTATTGAACCATCAACGTTTACAATTCGTCAAATAATTAATTTCTCTTTCATTCTTTAATCAGAAATATGCTTACATCCGATCTGTTGACAAAATGTTTAGCCATTTTATTCTTGATCATTTGTAACAAAACATTTCGAAGTAAAATCGGTATCCCTGGACTAATTGACTAGTGGATTACTGATCGTTCCTCGATGTGTCCGCATTCCTTTACTCAAATGTAAAATTATATCCCCAAATTGGTAAAAAGATTGGCTTCCCAGCCAACACGAAAAAAAGTAGTGACTCAAGTTCCCAGTTCTTCCCTTTTCATATCCCACTTCTAACTGTAACTCATATGGAACCCTCCGAGGATAATACTGAGAATAGCAAAACCACACCCTTATGCAGGCGCTTTCTCTTTCGCAAGTGATTCAGTGAGATATGACAAAATTACCGTTACATGCCGTCAAAGCGACAAACGCCGTTATTCATAGCATTTGTTACAATTCCTCCGAGGGCAGAATAGCGAGGATATAAACCAGACATTCCGCTGATCCCTATCAACTGTAAAGTTTCAATTCCAACGTTCCAGAATTTTTCAATATTTACAATGGACGGACCAATCAACGCAAGCTATGACGTATAAGATATCTTCGTGTTCTTCTCATTAGACTTGACAAGCATCACGCAATGCCAATTAGAGCTGTCCGTTTCGGTCTAAAACCCGAAAAATGTCTCCAAGTATCGACTACATTTTACAATATTTGAGTATAGCACTGCTGTACTTTGTGGGATTCTTAGGAGGCACTCACGTACTGGGCATCCTTACGCTTTACCAAATATTTTTTTATACACCCTTATGGCCGGTTGTACTTCTCTATTTATCATGGACGTATCTTGTTGAGTGGAAAACCCCAGAACGTGGCGGAAGAGACCTTTTGATAAACTTTGTACGAAGGCTCTCTGTTTTCAAGTACATGAGGGATTACTATCCTATTACCCTCGTCAAAACTTGCGACCTCGATCCACAGAAGAATTATATTTTTGGATATCATCCCCATGGAGCTTTTACCGAAGGAGCATCGATAGGATTGAATACAGAAGCATGTGGATTTAGTGACAAGTTCCCCGGAATCATTCCACATCTGTCCGTGACATCAGGTACTCTAAATCAACTCGAATCGCCATGTTATCGATCAGGTTTGGTTGACTTTTTACGATTGAAAATTTTAAGGAAACAGTCAAAAGTTTACAGTAATTTTACTATTACAGTTTGTGTTTCGTCTGGGAATTAATTTATCTTTCTTTCTACTTTCGGAAATATGCGTACAACTGATCTGTTGAAAAAATATTCAACCATTTAAATCTTGGTCACTTGTTACAAAACATTTCGGTGTAAAATCTGTATTTCTGGACTTGTGAACTATTGGATCACGGATCGTACCTCGATTTCTTCATAATCCTTTAACTCAAATATTAAAACACCTTTTCAAATCAATATTTCGTCAGCTTTTCAGTGAGTACAAAAAGTATGGGCTCAAATTCTCGGCCCATCCTTTTTTTTATATCCCGACTGTACCTAAAGTGAAACTCCTGACAGACACTAGGTGGCCAAACTACACCCTTGTAACCCTTATATAAGAGATACAGAAAGGCAAAAGAATATTTATCTCTAGTTTGCTGTTTTTCCGGAATTTTTTTGGTGCAGCAATCCTTAAAGCCTTGTTATACCGTGATATTCTGATGGCCCTTGGCGTAATCGATGTATCACGTCACAGCTTGGAATACAATCTGACGCAGAAGGGGGCGGGACACTCGGTTGTCATCGTTGTGGGAGGAGCAGCGGAGATTCGTGAAATGGGCTTTGACAGCTACGCACTGATAATAAAACGGCGGAAAGGATTCATGAAACTGGCTTTGCAAACTGGGTGTGTATAAGACTTGGAGTTTCTTATCAGTTGGAAAGTCGTCTATTACCAAAGGTTTCATTGATTTACTATCACTGTAATTTCGATTATCAGTATTTCCAAAGCATCATTGTCCAGCCTATAACTTTATGGGATCCATCTTTTTCACGTCTTATCTGATTTCACCAATAAGTAAATCTGACGACGACACGGATGGTTTATAAAAGCCTGACGCGAAATAGAAATTCGTACTTAGCTCAAACTCGTGGGGTAAAAAGGAAGTTTCTTGCCTCTTAGGAATTCGCAGAGACGTGAACCTTTTCTGAACTACGCTCCTTGATTTCCGTTATTCAGCATTTTTCAGCTTTTTATTTATTCGCATATTTATTCATTTATTTTTAATCTTTACCATTAGTTTTTATCAATTTTTGAGAGGCACCCTCTGGATTGGTATTCCTGGTTGTAACTGTTCAGTTCTCCATCACTCAGAGTTTTGAGATGAATCGTAATCAGATGGAAATGATTATCATTTTCAGGTCCGATCTCGTCCCTGTCTTTGGGTTTGGACAAAATAATATTTATCAAGTTATTGGCGGCAGTAGATCCTGTCAATTTTCACGATTTCAGCGTTGGTTCAGGTCTTTTACTTCTTGCTTAGGAACTTGCTTTCTTCCGAAACGATCTCCAATCAACGTTGTTGGTATGCAGAAATCTTGATGAGCACTTAATGACTGGCCACAAGGGAAACAGTGAGTTTTGTTTCCCTAAGACCTTCAATGTTCCCCGATGTGACGCCGAGGAGAAACTAAACTCACTATTTCCTATGGTGCCAGTGTGGTTTTTTTTATGCTTCAAAGCTCAAAAAATAGAACAAATTGTAGAAGAGTGGCGCACAAACTTGCCCCGATTTCAAGGTGCATTTCCCCATCATGTTTGAGTCGAAAGTTTAAGTTATTTAAAGGGAGTTTGTGAGTTTTGACTCATGACACGTGATACGTTCTTCCCTCCAATTGGAAAGCGCTTTTAAGTTGGGAGGTGAAACAATACTTTTGATCTAGCTTGAAACTATTACGACAGTCATTCGGTAGTCATAACTTCTACGTTTTTTCAAAAACTGTGGAAGGACCGTTAGTTCTTTCTGCCTTCATCATAATTGACATAAGTGGCATTTATAAGTTCAGTAGTTATTTGTTTTGAGGAGACGATCTATTCAGTACCGGTTTTAATTTTCTATTACACAGTGGGATCACCTGTTCCTGTGACCAAGATTGCCAACCCAACACAGGAAGAGATAGACCAACTTCACGCGCAATATTTAGAAGCACTTACCGATCTGTACGAGAAAAATAAGGACAAGTATCATCCAACAGGGACTTCAGAGTTATTGATCATTTAGCTATGAAAGTAAGCCTCAAAAGTGTTGTTCCAGAATCAGTAAATCAAGTCTGTTTCGTTCTGTTTTTTTTCCGTTTTTATCCTCTCACACAAAGACCTTGCCAGGCAAGTGTATGGTGACTACATTGAACAGAGAACAATTAAAACTGGCCGATTTTCTCACAGTTTCCTGGCTTTGCCTATTGTAAACCTCAACTTCACACTTGCATTTCATTGAGATAATCGCGGTAAATATTTCCGATGAATTTTAGATGGAGAGAGTTTAACAACTACGCTTGCAGCAGTTAGCAAGAATTTAACTCTTGTAGTGTGCCGCTTTCAGTCGTTTGTCGCATTAATTCGAAGATATTCTTTTGTGTACGAGGAGGTTACAAAGGTTGTGCTTCTTTAGCATAGAATTCGAATCAAGTTTAGCGAGAATGTATTTAGAAGTCTTTAATGAAGAGCTATTATAAGCTGATGATTTATTTGAAAAAATTATTATTATGCTATCAGCATTGTCAATCTAAAGCGTTTGTATGCTGATCTCGAGCGTGAAATTAAACCCTTCTCAGCGCGAGTTTCATTAAAAGATCTCCATTTCGCTTGTTTTCACTGACTTCTTTGTGTACATGTACCTAAACAGCCAGTCCACATTCGTGCGAACGAGATTTGAAGAATGCATAAAGAAGAATAG